TCTATCTATCTATCTATATCTATCTATCTATCTATCTATCTATCTATCTATCTATCTATCTACATATATATATAATATATATTTGTATTTATATTTATATTTTAAGCTTAGAACTTGAACTGATCAAAAATTAGGAAATAAAACTTGGCAGTGGTTCTTCTCGGGTATTTTCTTCAATATTAAGCGGGTTTCAAATTCGAAAAAATTCTTTTAAGAATAATTTGATGCTGGAAACTGCTGTAGGGTGTGGAGCGTAAACAGTTAGCCGGTACAATCCAGAATGATATCCTGAAAGAATTCATGGTACGAAATACTTACATTTATCCGCCAGCTCCATCGATGCGTATTATCGGGGACATTTTTGCATACACCGCTCGTGAAATGCCGAAATTCAATTCAATTTCAATTAGCGGTTATCATATGCAGGTATCATTAATGCGGCTAAATACATATGCTGATGCTGAAAGGAACTGATTTACCAGTTGTCAGTGATGTATTGGTAAAATTCAAAACTTACTAATACTCGAAAGAACAGAATTATCAGTTATTACTGTTTCTGAGAGGAAACAATAATTACTGGCACTGGAATAAATAGAAATTATCAGTTATTTGTGTTTTCTGATATAAATCTTTACTCACTGACGCGGGGGAAAACGAAATTATCAATTATCTGTATTTTCTGGCGTAATTCAATACTCACTGTTGCTGAAAAAATAGAACTGTTAGTTATCGACGTTCTTCGGCGTGAATCGATACTCGCTGGTGCTGAAAGAATCATTTCATCGGACTAAAAAGTGCTCATGGAATCTGCGTATTCCGAGGAAAAATTTAAACATTGAAGTGAAGGTTTCAGGAAGCCGGCGCAAATGCAGTGCTGGAGATGGCATTCACAATTGCAGACGGTATTCAATACTGCCAGACAGGGCTGGATGCAGGCCTAAATATCGATGCATTCGCACCACGTTTGTCCTTCTTCTGGGGTATCTCTATGAATTTCTACATGGTAAGAAACTTCGTCTGCTATTTTGACAGCTCTGATGAATTCAAGATACTGGCACCAGGAAAAAGTAACGAAATTTGCGCTCGAGCAGGTGTAATCGCTCGTATTGTATGTGTGGTACTTAAAAGTTAAGTGATTTTGTGTGGTACTTAAAAGATACTATGTGTGGCGCATAAAAGTTGAATGATTTTGATCAGCTGGGATGACACTCAATTGAAAAGAAACTATCATTCAAAAAGCCACCAAAAAAGCAAGTACAAGTTCTAGGCAGTGTTCAGCAGGACAGAGCGAGAGTCTTAGTCAAGATTTCTCAGGGCCAATGCTGAAATTCGCAGCAATTTTTAGTGAAAAGGTGGTCAGGTGGCACAAATTTCATCCGCGGTGGCCAGCGCCTGAATACGCGAAAACTGAATTCACTTTGACGTTCTTTCATTAGTCTGCCAGAAATTTCCGAGACTTATGTGCTTCACAATATTCTGCCAGACTTTCGGTAATAATCTGATGGAAAATTTTTTTAGGAAATCGCGAAAATGCGTGCTGCCCGACGGCTGTGGGCGACCCTGCTGAAAGAACGATTCAATCCGAAGAATTCACGATCGATGATGCTGCGGACACATTCCCAGACATCCGGATGGTCCCTCACTGAGCAGGTTCCTGACCAGCTCTATATCATGCATATGTACAGTAATAAGTCGGTCAGTCGAAATTCATAGAGTGGTTCTTCAGATGTACACCTGGCAGTTCTTTCAATTGTTATGACCAATACTGCATCGCCTAGTGATCATCCTGCTGACGACCCTGGTGTTCGCTTCTCTGCTGAGCACCACTATCTCGTCTCGAAAATTCCCACTTCAAAGCTACAGTGAAGTAATTTAATGAGTAAATGTTATGTTAGTGTGCAAGTGGAGAACGGTATCCGAAACTACTGGAAGTTGAATCAGTGTAGGAAATTCACGGGTCGAAAGTTCAAAGTAGCTAAATTTACCGAACTCCTGGCACTCGGACACAGGAACTTGTTATGGAATTTCAGGATCCGTACAACAATATTATAAGGACGACAATCGAAGCGATGGCATCAGTATTCGGTGGTACACAGTCGCTGCATACAAACTCATTTGACGAAGCCCTTGGCTTGCCTACGCCGTTCTCAGCGCGTATTGCCCGTAATACGCAAATCATCATCCAGGAGGAATCCGGTATTTGCAGGGTGAAGTAGTTTCGGATCAGCAAAATGGCAAAATGATAGCGGATGAAGCTTTTTTGGGGATTAAAAAAGTCGTTAAAATGAACTGCTTTCAGGTTGCTGATCCATGGGCTGGCTCCTATATGATGGAATCTCTCACCGATGAACTTTACACTGAAGCTCGTAAAGTAGCTTTTTTCTTCCAGAACCTCATTCCTGTTGAATATCAAAGTTATAAGACAAAAGCCTCTCCGTGTTCGTTCTCTCTAAATGCTCAGTGGCACTTGGAAGTATACTGAATGTAGCAACTGCCAACACAATCACTCGCTGCAAAAGCTCTCTATGAAAAAACCCAGTGAAATTTATTTAGAAATACGTTTTGGTATATAGCAACTAAAAAACTCTTGCCTTTATTTGAAGATACAGCACGATCATCTGCACTCCAATCGAAAATCAACAACATATTCCAGTTTCTACTCCAAAATTTCTAGCTTGGCTGCTTTATCTTTTGTCAGTACTTGTCAAACAACTGCTGGATTTATTGCATAGGTGGTGGCAGAGGTGGACGAACTTGGCGGTATGGCGAAAGCTGTGGCAAGTGGAATGCCCAAGCTGAAAATCGAAGAATCGGCTGCCAAGAAACAAGCTCGTATCGATGCAGGCAAAGAAGTGATCGTTGGCGTCAATAAATATCGCTTGGAAAAGGTTATTCACATTGAAAAGTAAACAACAGATACCCGTGTTCTCATGCGCGTATGCTGCAAGTACTTCAGTGAGATTACGGAGGTTTACGTCGAAAAATACTTTTTAATAAATAAAGTGCAATATTAGCGCTTTTTTCTGGATCACATTAGTGCTTTAAATTCTTTTTTTCACGTTGTTTTCTGGATTTGGTATGTATGCTTTTGTGAAGCACACGGTCTTTTTAAAAGATTCATGCTACTGTATAAGCTCGGATTTGTCTTTTCGTTCCACCGTAGTTCATTTTTTTACAGTGTGAATGCTTCTGACAGCAGTACCATCTTTCAAACTTTTAAGTTTATCTTACACAGATATTATGTGCCAAAAACGCACCAAGCACAAACATCGAATGTTTCATATTTTCTAATAATTATTTTACTTCGTTGCACTTATAAAACTTCAGAAAACTATAGATTAAAATTTCAAGTCAAGTGCATATGTTATACGGAAAATACCAAACTGATTGAGCTATCACTGTAGGTATCGCATATTAGTGATTTTACTGGGATGCTCCTACACATCGGGTATATTCATACCAGTTTCTTCGATACGACGCTGCACATCTCCAGCTAACGTACAGTATATTTAAACATATTTCGCATTTTTCACTGCTTGAAAAAAGTAGAACTTTTAGTCCTTATGCGCTTGTGTGTGTGTGTGTGTGTGTGTGTGTGTGTGTGTGTGTGTG